TATCACTACATGCTTAACTATTCTGCTTCAAGTAATTTGCAAATATCAGCCCGCTTGCCTGGCTTTCCAGAGCTGTGTCACCTCTTGGCCCCTGCTCCAGCCTCCTGCTCCTTGCAACAGGGTCAACAGGTCCCTGTCTGATGAATTGCCTGCACCCTTACTTTTGCAGGCATTATGTTCTGCCCTGCTACCTGCCTGGGTGTCACAGAGGTCCTAGGCTCAAGTGCATTTGGTTGGAATTTTTGCAGAGAAAAAGGTTTTTTTTCCAGCCACAGATGCTTCCAGATGTTTTGAGTCCATATATTGCAGGGAAAGTACTTTCAATACAAGAACCTCTGGTAATTTGTCACTGCCTGCCCTGTATAATGAAGAATTAAACTCTTAGCAAATGATGCTGCTGCTGAATCAGGAGTAATGTAGGGGGTAATTTATCTGTGGAACGCTCAAGCTTGCCAGTGGCATTCTTGACACTAGATATGCTGTGGAATCTGACTTAGTTAATTATTTTGCCTCGGGAGGTACTTTGTTTTGGTATCAGTAAATTCACTTGTCCAAGTCCACTGAGAAAAAAAATTGCACTGAGGAAGAGTTAAGCCTATAAATGACATTGCTTTCATGAGGGCAAAAACATGCTGCTGTGGCTACACAGTAGTTGTTCACAATGAGCTCCCTGTATTGTTGCTTCTGATCAGGGAAGCATCTCATGTCCTTGACCCTGTTTCCTAATTGCTTGGGTGTGGTACATCCACTGGCTACTGATGGTATTAAGAAGGTGTTCTCCTCAAGGCCTCCTTGCCATAGCAGATTATGTTATTCATAGCACATCATGAATTGCGTTTGAAGAGAAGCATCTGGCTTCTTCATCAAGGTTTATACCTTATGAATGTTGAAAAGCAGATACCACTGGTATTCTGCATCTAAGGTAACTATAAGAGTATTTTTTCTCTGACTAAACATTTATTAAAAAAAAAAAAAAAGAAGTTACAGAGATAGATACTACAGTAACCCAGCCTCCTGAGATGGCAGGAGGAATCCTGACCCTCTGTCCATAGAGATGCAAGAGCTGATGGCTTTGCTGCATGCACGGCTGGATGCAGTACAGCTGGGCTCCTGGGCAAGTTAATGCTTGGAATAAAGAATTTTCCAGGATGTGGAGCAGTGCTCACTCCTGGCTATAGTATTTTGACCTTCCTGGAGGGCAGAATGAACAGGCATGTGTCCTTTGTAACCTACTAGAAGTTGGGGTTGAATCCACTGAAGTTTTGAGTGATTTTTTTGAATGAGGAAAAATTTGCAATAGAGAGATCACCTCTGTTCTTTGCAACCCCTGTAAGCCCTGTGAAAGCAGTCCCAGCATTTAATCAGATAAAAACCAAATTGTTTTTATCTGATGACTGGTAGTGTTGGGAAATAGTGTGCTTCAAGGTTATGGCGATTACCTGCTTCTCTGTGCTGAGGACAGGTTTATAGGATGCAGCCTCTACTTTGCTGTTGCTGCCAACCATCTATCTTCTTGCTGTGCTTCACTGGTCACCTCATGGATACACTCAAAAACAATGTTGCAGCAAGTGAATGTAGTCTAGGTAATGGTTTTCACACATAACTGCATCTTGATGATAGCTCCTTCTCTTTTCCTCTCTTTAACCTCATTACTGTAGCATCAGAAGCATTAAAATGACTTAGGTGTGTCCACAAGTTCCAAGCACAGGCTTATCTTCCTGTGTTGCTGTCTTGAGTATGGCATCATGTAAGGAGTTCAGAGGTGCTGCTTGCAGAGTTAATGTGAATCTGGAAAGGCATCCATGAGACCTTCCTCCCTACCCACTCCATTCCTGTAATTTCCTGTGGGCACCTCAGTGCTTAGAAAATTAAAAATCTGAAGTGGAAGCACAGTTTTCCTGAGTACTTTAAGGTGGATGCTCATCTGAACACACGAGCAGTTGTGTTGGGAGCTGCTGCTGACAGCATTGGATACACTTCAATGTAATAGTTAAACTGTGCACTTAGTTTGTTTACTGTAGTATCCTGGTGTTTATATATCTTAAGAATATCTCAGTTTGCTGTTCAGCTACTGCGTGCTGGAAAGGAACTTCAGTGTTTAAAGCTAGAATAATCCAGTTCTAAAATGAATCTAGATTTTGTAGAAAGTGTACTGGTTTGGAGACTATTATATTCATTGAGGTATAGCTTGACCTTGAACTACTGATATGTTTCTGATGAGCAATAACTCTAATGACCTTGCAAATGTAGAACATACTGATATTGCTAGGACTTTTCAACAACAACAAAAAATTACTTCTTTCTAAAAAGTATGAAAGATCATTGTCCTTTAATTTGCTGAGGAATTGATTTTTAAGCTAAAGGCAGGTGATTAAGAAGGCTTCTGAACCTGGGTTTTATCCCTGCAGGAAATTGTACAGGTATAGCATGATTTAAAGCTGTTAAGCTTAGCAGCTGCTTAGCTGCTGGTGCAGCTTGGTACAGAAATGACATTAATGATGAACAGTACTGATATGAATGACATTAAAGTAATTAACACTGACTTTATGGTTGACTTGCAGAGTGGTCATTGATGGTCTTTGAGTGCCAGTGCAATGCTGCAGTTAATTTGCTAGTATACTCACAGTTTTACCTATCAATAAAAAATTGTCTTGGCTTCAGCAACTTGTGACCAGCCATGCATGCTTCCAGTTTTGAATACTAATGTCACTTTCTTTGTGATCAATCATTCTCTGCATTAAAATTACTGTTTACAGAGCACTGAAGTGTGTGGCACATCACAGGGCAGAAGCTGCCTTCCTTTCTTAGAAAATGAGAGATACATCAACTTCTCTGTTAGGAGTCTTTATCTTCTGTTAAAAATAGCATGCTAGAGGCTGGAACGTTGGCAGGCATCATGGCTGGCTTGCTTTAGACATTTGAGTCTTGTTTTGTCTGTGTTACCTTTGTGTAGGTTCTAGAATAGAAAAAGGAAAATATTTTCAAAGGGATAATCTGACTCTGTTGGAACTGGAAGTGTGGCTGTATTTCATAGAGATATGGTATTATGAGCAAATATATTAAAATTGTGATTAAACTTCGAAGCCTCTAAAGGCATGTGATTAGTATGCACAATAAAGTGATTATAGTTTTTAATGCCCGATTTTTGAAATTGGACATTTAGTGTCTGTTTTAAGCCTGCTGTGCATTAAGCAATGTTAAATAGTTGGGCTGCTGAAATTGGAAGATGACTGTGTATAAAGCGGTCCCTAGAATATTCACATATGGATTATAATGTCTTTGATAGTTGAACAGAGCATAGGTTTATGAAGGGAAAGGTGTGAACTTCATCGTTTGTTTATGTGTAGCTGAAAATAATACCAGTTAGACCTTGTAAGTCACCACTGTGCTCTTACCAATAGGGATGTATTTTAATTTGGAGGTGATCCAGTCTGTGTATGTTTGTGGGTTTATTTTGAAATGGACTTGGAAGTGATAACTGTGGAAAGCATGAAGGTTCAGAATGGAAGAAACAGTAGCTGGTTAATTAATGAAAATGCACTTTCCTTCTTGAGTGGAGATAGATTTTCTTGCTCTGGAAGGCTTGTAAAAACTGTTAGTCCAGGGATGATTGTTAGAAAGTTACTTTGAAACAAAACCTTTCACTCTTTACAGTTATGAGGTGTGGTGTTTCATAGATGGAAAAAAGCCTTCCAGAATCAGTCTTACAGAGCTCATCACTACTAAACTACAGAGAGCCAGTAGCTAGACCAAATAAAGAGGCTTCCCTAGAGGTCTACAACTTAACCAGACACACTGTGACCTTCCTTCCTCTGTTTTTCAGCCATTTTTCAGGGGACTACGTTGGGAGGACGCTGCTGTATTGTCTCTCATGCTTACATGAAATGCTTAGAATGATGTTTTGGATTAGGTTATCCCCACTTCTTCTCTCCCTTGATTTTTGTTTTGTGAGTGGTTTCTTTTTCTGTAAGCTTAGAATTGTTTAGGGTTTTTTTAGGTGACGTAGTAGGACCACCACCTTTCTGGTGGTTTCATTTTCCATCATGAGAAAAATACAGACAAGTGCCTGGTTTATTACTGATAAGCTAATAGCTTATTTTACTTTCACTGCGAGGATGTTGAAGCCTACACATATGTGAATAGTCTTAAAAAAACTCTTAACTCTGCAATGATGTTTGTCTGCACTGCTGTACTGATGAAGAAGAAAATTGATTTGAAGGAGCTGTTCCACACACTGAAAAAAATCAAATGTAAAATCTGATTAAAACAATTACTATCCTGAGAGTGTGCTTACATGTGGTCTTACTGTGTAGTCATCTTTTTATTAAGATTGCTTTCAGTCCTTGTTCAGATGAGAACTGCTTTGGGCTCTGTGGGCTGTACTGGCATGAGGATTTTAGGGATGGATCAGTTTTTACTGTCGCTTCTCACTCTCTGGATGCTTTTGAAATTAAACATCATTGAACATTGCCTAAGGAGATAGGAAACAAAAATAGAAAGCCTTCTATTTCGGCTGTGGTTTAGGATTGAAAATTTTACTCTGATTAAAACAAAACTCGCCTTGGATGTCATGTACAAAAGTGCTTGTATCTTAGCACTGTTGAGCTCAAAGGTAAATGTTTGAGGCCACCGCTGCAGTCTTTGCTCTCTGTTGCCATCTTGGGGTGAAGGCTCGGTCTTGGAGGCTTCAGGGTCGGGATGAAGACTGATACTACAAATGCGTTCAGTAACAGTGTTTGTAGAGTGCAGCAGGTGATTCTGTTGACAGTTGCTTCTATATACAAAATATACTTAATTTAACCCTTCTTTTCTTGGGGGTTCAGGAATTGAAACAACTTAGGTTTTGCAAAATTTATTCGATAGTGTACTGAAGGGAGTATCTATTTGGAAGTCTTTCTAAAGGCAGAATATATATGTATAGGTTTGCAAGATTTTGTCTTCTATTTTTTAAAGAGGAGAAAGTGATGCTGAAACATATTTTTCTTCCCTCTTATTGTCAGGTTTTCTTCACCAGTGGAGTGAGAGAAATAGAGACTGAAGATGAGTGAGCTGGAACAGTTACGGCAGGAGGCCGAGCAGCTGAGAAACCAAATCAGAGTAAGAATTGCTAAGTGCCTATTTTTCATTATAAAGTTCCTCCTTTAGAGGAATAAAGCTTGCATCTGTAACTTGCTCCTGTTGTAAGCTGTGCAGAGCTGAAAATATTTTCAGAATATTTGTTAAAAAAAATCAGAAAAGCAAGTCAGTGGTACAATGAAATGTGTTCATAATGTTTCTGGAACAAAGCGTTGTATTTCCTATTGAAGTTTGAAATGTTTCATTACTAGGGAGGTGTGAGTGTCTGCAAATTTTTTATTTTTAATTTTAAAGACAAAGTGAGCAGCAAACTTCTAGAACCTAGGCATGACAAAGTGGGGCTAAAGGTATTAGAAAAGCTTCTTTCTGTGCTAAAAGTGGCCACTGCACTGCCACTCATGATAAGCGTGCAGGTCAAAGTATGAAGTGTGAGAGAAGACCTTCCAGAGGTAGGTGTAATTTCTACAGGCCCCATTTCTTTACTTCCTCTTGAATTTACTTATTTTTTGAACATGCGGATCCTCCCATATGTGCTAATTTTTTGTTGAAATTGCTAATTGAAGATGTGCCTGAAGTCAGTTTACCAAGAATCTGTTGCAACGTGCCTGTGTATTTCAGCAATGGAGTCTTCAGTAGAGAGGAAAGAACAAAGTATAATAAGGATCTTCAAAGTCTGTTTATTCTTCATTAAAATTTCCTTTTCCTAAACATGAAGCATTCGTAAATCTGATTTACACTGGAATGCCTTATTTGCAAACATTCATGTCAGCTAAGACTATGGGTTTCTTAGAATATGTTGCATGTGCACTGACTTTTTTAGCATGGTATCTGCTGGCAGCAGTTGTTTTGTGGTGGTGTGCTGTTTGTTGCAGTGCATGTTCAGCTGCTTGTTAGTATCAGCCATTTGATAAACACGCTTCATGTTTTGGGGCAAATGTTGCTTTCATGGTTACTCCTTCAGTATTGTCCAAGAAGAGCTGTCTGCTGTCGTTTTCACTCAACGCACTCATGAAAAACAAGTTGGGGCTCAGTCAGTGTTGTGGCACTGGGTACTCCTTCTAGCAGCTCTGTAGAGGAATGCAAATAAAATACTTTTTCTTAAATGTAAGCTTGATTACAGCATTGAACAAATGAAAGATATACCTAATGTCTCATTTTTTTCTCTGCCTGAAGTGTGAAGATTTTCTCACTATGTTATGTTGTGGAGAGCCAGTTAGTTTTATTTCAGTCTTAGTAATCAACCAGTCTGGTTTTATGCAAAGTCTGTTTGTGTCAAGATAGAGATACCAGGCAAGAGCTATACTGTGTTGCAGGAATGTTGACTTTTGTAATTTTGGAGCATAAGTATCAGATTGGCCCTTTGTATAAGCACTCCATTTTGTGATTTGAAGTTGATTGAACATTTGCCTTGTAAATCTTATCACCCAAACTTGTAACTGGATCTGTGCAGATATAGTTGAGTAACCATGTGTAACCACAGCTTTGCCATTGGAGTATTTTGGCTCAGCATTGGCAATTAGTGTGTGCCTCTTTGAATCTGAGTGCAGGGTTGGTTACCTTAGCCTTAATTTTAGCTTCAGGTGACTATGCAATTTAAAAAATGCTCCTGATGACTTAATATTCAAGAAGCTTTCTAACCATACAATTCAGTTTCAGATTTGTATCTGTAACTATTTTTCTGTTTATTAAATCATTGCACAGTTTTCTTTCTAAGTAGGTGTTTGGTAAAAAAAGAGATACAGGATCTAAAAAACAAATTTAAGTGTGTAGAATATCTAGCAACCTGGTAATTTGCAGGAATTCTTTTTGGTGCACTCCCAAAAAGAGGTGAGATCACTAACACCATTTCATGTTTTACATGTAGCAGCAGTTTGCTGTTTTATTTGTTTACAACTCCTTGGTTTTACTTGATGTGTAAACTGCATGAATTTTTAGTGCCAGAAGTTTGAAACATCAGTGAATGATGAACTATTATATAGCAGGGTGGCTTTCTGGTTGAAGTTGATTCTTAGTTCTGTCTACAATAAAGTTCACATGTGCTGCATGTCCTCATTTTGAGAATTGAAATTTAGGATATGATTTCTGGAAGTGTTGCATACTTGGCACAGTGTCCTTTGAAACTGAGTGATGTTCTGAACAAATAAGGCAAATTTTTGAGAAAAAAAAAAAGTGTGTATACTAGAAAATTGTGGGATTGCACACAGACCAGTTTTTCTCTCAAATTCTGCATTATTTACTACATGAACTGAGAAAAATCTACAGTTATGCAAAGGAACTTTTTTGTGTTATGACTCTAATGATTCTGTTAGGATGATGCATATGTAGAAATGACAGCTAAAATGTGATAATTAAAATAGCTTGCTGCAACTTTGCTTTTCCTGCACCTTTGCCAACTGTATGGCAACTATTAGACAGCCTCAAGTATAGGTGTTCTAGTAGAAATCCCTTTAAGAAAAATGGCTTTGTTCCATTCAGATTGCATTCAGAATTTATGTTGAACATCTTGAAATGGTTCAGCTAAATTAAACAATTAAAGTTGGTTAAAATCCAGTGAGTTTCTTCCTGTGGATGAAGTAAGTCCTGAGTGCTAGGGGATTTGCTGCCCTGGTATTTTAAACTCCTCCTGATTCCAGATGTCAACATTTTATAAATATTTCTGCAGTTGAGGTATTTTAAAAATAAGTTGAGATGACTTAATCCACTTTCAGGCTTGCTTTCTGGGAGGAAAGCTATAAAGGGTGATAAATAAACATGCAGTAAAAAAAAACGTAAAGTTGCAACGTCAAGTAACTCTCGAGAAAGAGCTTGAAAAAATCCTATTCTGAATGTGTTGATGCAGTTCCAAAATGTGTGAGTAAATGTTTCCTTTCTTCCTCTCAAAGAGAACATTACTATTAGTAAACAGATCAAACACTTTCCTGAGGAGGGGGGAGACAAAAATGAGTGGTGAAGGCCATCTGTCATTTGTGGGCTGCCTGCTTCGCTGCTCACAGAAGTTGGAAGGTATTTGGAGAATTTATAGGGAGTCAGAGGAGGTCTTGTGGCCAGTCCATCAGTGCTGCTGTCGATAGTTTTATCTCCAGCTTGGGCTATAGAGTCCCTGTCTAATTTTAAGCCAATTATTTTAGACTGTCCTTCTCAGAAGAGGGTGCTGACCACGTGCCTATTTTTGTGTTCTGAAGAGAGGTGTCTGAGTTGCAGGAGCAGAGTGCAGGCACTGAAATCACGTTTTGCCAAATGGGAGTGTTGGAATGAGGCTGAGGCGCTCGCCTCCTGCCGGGCGTCCAGCCCGTGCCTCGGGTTGTGCAAAAGAAAGGGAAGTCTGGTTTCTGGGCAGGGCTGAGTAACACACAGAAAGTAAGTCATGTGACCATGGAGTCGTAAATAGAGAAAGACGAGTATCTGTGGAGACCTGAGCACCATCTATTCCATGAAAGCTTCTGTGAGCCTGCTGGCTGACCTGCCTTCCAGATCATGCCTGTTCATTCTCATCCCACCTCTCATACCTTGCACCGTCACGCCTGCGGTGGATGGCAAGGAGGGTTAATGCAAGAGCCTCCTCTAGCACAAAGCTTGCTAATCATGTATAATATGTGGTTGCTTTTTCAGGTGGATCAGTTCTTCCTCTTCTCTTGGTGCTCAGCACACCCTGAGCAAGCATATCCACACCAGGGAAGGAGTACAGGGAAGAGGGTAGGCACTGGGACTTCAGGATGACACCAAATGCCTTTGAATCACATATTCTGTAGAAAGGGAGATTCAAAGATTGCTGGGGCATGATCCTTCTGAAGTCCCTCTTCCTCCACTACCATCTAGCTTGTGTGTCAGTGCTTTAGATCCCTTGGACAATAAAACATACTAGGTGACAGAAGGCATATTGGCATGTAAGTTGTGGTTGGCTTGTGGCTTTTTGAGTGTGGTGAAATCTAGCTTTAGAGTTATTTTTTCTTTTAGACACTTTCAGATAATGCTCATTGTTGCCTTTTAGATTCAAATTCTTCCACTTTTGTTTCAGGATGCAAGGAAAGCATGTAGTGACACAACTCTTGCTCAGGTATGTTCTTTATTCTGTGCTTAGGCTGTTACGTGATATATCGAAAAAGTAAAATTCCCTACAATATATTACTATAACAAGTTCCTGTTTAGTAACTGGAAGAATAAAGTGAAAGAAGCCTTTGGAAATGCACTGTGTATTTATACAGTTACATAAAACGAAACAGCACCATGAAAAAACCCAAACAAACAAACCAGCAAAAAAATCCAACCAGTCGTAAAATCCCCCCACCATCATAATGGGTCCTGCCTCCAGTTTACCTTTTAAATAGAGTCTGTTTATTTTGTTTAGTATGTTTAGAAAGAAATAAATGTCTTTTAGCTGTAGTTTGGAAACAAAAGTATTTTGCATTGCAAGTTCTGTCATGCTTTAAAAAGTAACAGTGCAGTAACAGTTCTACCATTGGTTTTATTTGGAAAATTTCAGATTTAATAATATGAAATAGCCTCAGTACTACATTGTATTATTGTAACAACCTTTCTGAAGCTTTCAGGCAAAGTCATTGTGAAGTGTGTTTGTGTATCTTCTGTAAACCCTTTTTTCCTCAGTGCTGCATGCAGCCTAACTCTGGGTTGTACATCAGTATGCTTTTTTTTATTTTTTAATGTTGCATGCCAAGACAGATTATTTTCTATCAAAGTTCAGATGTGTATAGTTATCTTGTATATTAAAAATAGTCCTCAGTATCTCAGAAGTTTGTTTTATTTATTTTTAGATCACAACAAGTCTGGACTCAGTGGGTCGAATCCAAATGCGAACAAGGCGTACGCTTAGAGGTCACTTAGCCAAAATCTATGCTATGCACTGGGGATCTGACTCAAGGTTAGTAAAGCAATCCTTAAACCTGTAGTTTAAGGGTTGGAATTGTAGACTTCAGAATTAGTATCAGGTGTTGGGAGTCATGTGGTATGGTCTTGGTGCCCCCACGAGGGGATCACAGACCACAGCTGCGGTGGGGTTTTTGTCTTCAGTTATAGTTTGCCTTTTTAAAACATTACACAGTGGTACGAGAGAAGCCTTCGTAGATTCATAGAATGGTTTGTGTTAGAAGGGACCTAGAAGATCATCTAGTTCCAACCCCCCTGCATGGGCAGGGACACCTCTCGCTATGTCGAGTTGCTCAAAGCACCGTCCAACCTGGTCTTCAACACTTCCAGAGAGGAGGCATCCACAGCCTCCCTGGGCATCCTGTTCCAGTGCCTCACCACCCTAACAGTAAAGAATTTCTTCCCAACGCCCAACCTAAATCCTTGATTGAAAGGAGAGGTACTTTGCTTTTTCCTGCCACAGGCATTTTGCCTTTTCCTTCTTTTAGTTTTAACTAAGTTCTCTGAGTCTGTCTAACCAGAGGAGGGTATGTGCTCAGGCATATTTTTTGGATGATGGATATTGTATTTTCCAATGTGTTGAATAATTATGTAACTTCTGTGATAACAGAGATATAACAACTTTAAGAACAAATTCTGTTTCATTGAAAAAAAGAACTTTGTACATAATGGGAAAAGTTCTGTAGCTTCTAGAAGGGAATTTTGTCATGCTGCCTTTAGAGCAACTGATGGTCAGATGTTGTTAGAGCCTTGTGGTCTGTTCTCCCTCCTGTAGTCTAGAAAGGGTCTAGAATCTGCTCTCAGAATAAGATTTATTTTTCCCTTTATTTCTTGTTTCTATTATGTAGCTGTATAGTTAAAATGTTAGTATATAAGAAATAAAAGCAACTGTGGAGAGAGTTCATAAAAGGTGTTTTCAGGAAGTTCTCTAGTTCTGTCCATTGTTAATCATGTCTGTGGACATGGGGAATCTTTGGTCAGGTAATATATAGCTCTTTGCAGGTTTTTTCCAACATATGTTGCCACTCCCCCTCCCCCCCCAAAAAAATAAAAAAATAAAAAAATAAAAATTCTGACATTTCTGAATCACCTGGTCATGTTGTGTGACTATTTTGAGATATTTTTTGTTTGTTTTATATTAACATATTTTATTTTGTATTTATATTTAGGCTACTAGTCAGTGCTTCTCAAGATGGAAAATTAATTATTTGGGATAGTTATACAACAAATAAGGTAGAGTTACTTATCATTTCTGTCAACAATTCATGCATCATTTGTGTTTGAGGGGGTTTGTGTCTATTTTTTTCTATGTTTGCAAGGCAAAAATGAAAAGAAGCATTTTTTTCTAATTCCCACACAATCCTTTTTTTCCTTTCATGAGTAGCTGATTACTAGAAATATGTAGCAGGTTATGTCTCTGAAGCAGTGGTTCTGGTTAGTATGTGATTTATTTTCTGTAGTTTGCTAGTGCAGTAGCTTGCAGCTGTTGCTCTCTGCCTGTGTGGTGTTGCTTCTGAAACTAATTTGGTTTTAAATTGTAGAAATAAATGACCTCAGAATTTACAAGACTGCTTTGCTTTTGAGGGCAGGGAACGCTTGGGGGGTTTCTGGGGTTTTGGGGTTTTTTTGTTTTAAATAAAAAGCTGTTAAATAAGAACAGCTTAGGTAGAGTGGAGTGGTGATCTGCTGCTATAAACTGTCTAGTCTCTATGGGTACAACCATCCCATTTTACAACCTATAGTTCAGAGATGTGTAAGTGGACAAAGAAATTAAATAGAATAAACAAATGTTAAATATTTAAGTTTAGAATAACTCTGCTATTAAATAATGTTATGCTCAAGTTCTTTCTATCTATCTATCTATCTATCTATCTATCTATCTATCTATCTATCTATCTATCTATCTACCCTGGAGACTGCTGGTATTTTTAACCTCAAGATGTATGTATAAATATGAATGTGGGTTGTAATATGTTCTAAAATCAAAATCACACAATCTACTCCATGTGTTTAATCTACTAAAATTCCTTAACTGATATGAATGACCTCAGTGAAAAATGAAAGTGATTCATGAGCTCTGTCTTTCTGAAGATGCACGCCATTCCTCTGAGATCCTCCTGGGTGATGACTTGTGCCTACGCACCCTCTGGAAACTATGTTGCCTGTGGTGGGTTGGACAACATCTGCTCCATATACAACTTAAAGACCAGAGAGGGCAACGTGAGAGTGAGCCGGGAGTTGCCAGGACATACAGGTCAGCCATGTTCTTGCTTGACCTTTGGTTTGTGTTGCATCACATGAAACCATCTCGCTTTGGGGTGTATTGAGAACTGTGAAAAAGTGTTTTTGTTGTTTCCAGTCTAGCTGTGGGTGATCTTTAGTCACTGCTCTTGCATTTAAACTTCAGTTACCACTCCTGGGTCTGAAACTAACGTGACTGACTGGTTTGTTGTTTTTTTGTGGTTCTTTTTTTTAGGATACTTATCCTGTTGTCGCTTTCTAGATGACAACCAAATTGTCACTAGCTCAGGAGACACCACTTGGTGAGTTTTTGTTCTCTGTTGGTCTTTATTTTCCACTTTTTTTTTCTTTTTCTTTTTTTTTTTTTTCCTCCTTTCCAATGTCTTAATTTGCATTTTAAACTTAAACTCTCAAATAACCATATACGTTTTGTTGATGTTGTCACTTTATCTGCAGTGCTTTGTGGGATATTGAAACTGGTCAACAGACCACCACATTCACTGGGCATACTGGCGATGTGATGAGTCTCTCTCTGAGTCCAGACATGAGGACTTTTGTTTCGGGTGCCTGTGATGCCTCCTCAAAGCTTTGGGACATACGAGATGGAATGTGCAGGCAGTCGTTCACAGGGCACGTGTCAGATATTAATGCAGTGTGTGTAAGTGATCATTTGTACTTCCACCTGGGAAGAAAGGGGCAGGATAAAAGGAGTAGTTGCATGAATTCAACTTACAGTCTACTGGGTTACCTTGATTTAAAATAATTCACTTGGTTAGGGCAGATACTGTTAAATTGTATGTAACAAAGAAGGTTGTCTAATAACTTAGGAACTGGATTTTAATAGAATTTGTATTACTAGTATCTGTGATGCATTGAGGCATCTTCGAAATAGTTTTACCTTTGCTTTGGTACAGTAACTGAGACCTTTTTTTAAGAAGGAAAGAGTCAAGGGGGGAACTTTTTGCACTTTGGCAGTGTGTTAAAAACTGACAATTGTAGAAAATTACAATATGCTGAATGGGAGCAAAGTAACCAAGCATCCCCATCTTGGAAGTTTTTTGTTGAATGAAAGTGTATTTGATATTATCTGTTGAAAAGAGCAAAGGCAAAGTTAAAATCAGGACTTACATTGAATATTCATCCCTGGAATAATACTGTAGTGTTTATAAACTGGGTTATATTTCCTCTCTCTCATAGTAACACTATGTTCTGATCTACAAGATACAAGCTCTGATAAATAGGGAATGAAATCTTATGTCTAAGCTGCATCTGGTTTTGATAAACATGAAAAATTACTAAGGCTGAGAAATACCAGAAGCATGACCAGTAGAGAAATGCAGTTCCTATACTTAGACCTGTATGCTCAGATGCGTTGAGCTCTTTTCATTCCCATTTCAATCAATTTGGCTGTTGTAAGAATGACTCTGCTTTGGAGTAGATTTTTTTTGGACATTGAATAGCTTACTTGCAATCTTCTATCTTGGCTGAGCCAACCTGGCTGACCAGCCTAGGATGGAACACAGTGTTCCACTTCACCCAGGTCTTCCTGGCCCACAGCCAGGACATACACAACTACTTTTTGCTCCATTTTGTAGGAGTTAGTTGCATCCCTGTTGACTCTTGTTCTGCTGCATGCAGGAGCTATCTGGGTATGATTCCAGTCATTCAGATGTTACCAATCCTAATCTGAAAGTGTTCCATTGCACAGCTCTGTATGCATTTTTTTCCAACTTGCAGATTTTTTTAAAAAGTAAATAATTTTGCCACTATCTGGTCACCTTGGCAAAACAATCCTGTGATGTCTTTGAAATCATACATGAACAGTGTATTTTTCTGGTCTCAAACTCCTGTCTCTTAATTAAACCTTTCAGTTTTTCCCTAATGGACATGCATTTGCCACTGGATCTGATGATGCCACCTGCCGACTCTTTGACCTCCGAGCAGATCAGGAATTGATGATGTATTCCCATGACAATATCATCTGTGGGATCACTTCTGTAGCCTTCTCCAAAAGCGGCCGCCTCTTGCTAGCAGGGTATGATGACTTCAACTGCAACGTGTGGGATACTCTGAAAGGGGAGAGAGCAGGTGAGTACACAGAGCTGCAAGGAGCTGTAGTTTTGCATTTCCTTAGCAAAAGATGGATATTCAAAATTGGTGCAAAATGCAGAGCTAGTTCATTGCCAGTGCTGCTGCTGATGCTGCTGAATCTGCTTGCTTCCTTGTAACACTGTCTTCTTTTGGAATGGCACCTTTTTATTGCTTTTGGTTTTATCTTCCAGTTGTTCCATTGCATTGCATTTTGCACCTGTGTGATGTGTGGGGTAACTGCTCCAGTCAGTGAGATCCTCTGGTTGTTGGGTGTTGGCCGTTCTTTGTGTGCTGGAAGATACCAGCGCTTCAGTCCAAGCATCAGCCTCCAAAATAGTCTTATCTCTGCAAAAATGTATTTCACTGAATTGTATGAACTTAAGAAATGCAAAATTAGACATTTGCGTTGGCTTTTGCACCCATCAGAGGAAGCAACTCATAGTATTAAGAGAATACCTTTAGTGCTTGAGTTAGTCACATCTGTCAGGGTAGACATCATGTTTGTAGCACAGCTACAGCTTTCCCACTTGACAAAGTGGTTTAAATGGTGGGGCCTGGTTCACTTCTGAGCCTTGATTCTTCTGTTCAGGCTGAAAATTTGTCCTTTTCCTTAAGGGACATGGATGGGTTGGGTTTCAGTAGGCCTGGATGTGAAACCTTGGGAGAGCTGACAAGTGCAAGAATGGGTGGAAGGAAAGCAAAAACAGAGCAGGAGGCAGGGTACAGTGCTGTTTTTTAATAGCCTGGCACAATACGTGGGGGATTTTTAATGTCTGGGATTTGTGAAACACAGGAAACTCAAGGTAGTTCCTATATCCAAGGCATTGTCAGAAAACATCACACTTGGTTTTGGAAGTACATGACATACTGAAATAGTGGACAGCATTGCTGAAAACAGGGAGAAGTAGAGAGCCTGATTGGGGATGAGGTGGTCTTTGGGGTAGGAAGAAGGAGAAGTCATAAGGGCAGAGAGAAAAATGGATGTGGTGCTGTTTTTTTTAAAACCTTGTTGTTGAGTTTCTTCATGTGGCAGTTGTAATGTGTGTTGCTCTTCAGGGTAAAGACAAAGAGGATGATTAGATCTTGCATGATGCCTTTTTTTAGCAAATGTGAAGACTCTGGAAGAGCAGAGTAACAGCTGAAGTCCTTGGCATCCTTGGAATATGAATTTTAATTGCTTCTTCTTTTCCAGGTGTCCTTGCTGGCCATGACAACCGTGTCAGCTGTTTAGGTGTTACTGATGACGGCATGGCTGTAGCTACAGGGTCTTGGGACAGTTTTCTCAGAATCTGGAATTAACTGGGAGCCAAACATGTACATTCTCCATTTGAGATCTGGAGAGATCAATGCTGCAGCCTATAGCTGTGAAATAACATTTCTACCTTGTATTTGCAGGTGAAGTTTTTCTATTCACTGATTATTACACAAAAAGGCTTTCTGTAAACTAGAAAAAAAAATCAAGTGAAGAAATAGGGGAGGGGGGAAGAAATCACTGACTTTTTAAAAGGGGCCAGCACACATAATCATGGTGACCGACAAACTAAGAGCCAGTCTTTTTGTTTTTGGTGGTTTGGTTAGATTGTCCTTGAAGGGTTTTTGCTTGTGCTCAGTCTGCTAATCATGTACTTTTTTTTTGTACATAACAGAATATACACATTATAGCAGCCAATCATAACATTTGTCTGTATGTAAAAAAAAAATATGTTGGCATTTTTTAAGGAACTACATTTATAGCTTTGCTTTTAACCTGAGATGTCACTCCTGAGTTTTGTAGTGGATGAACTAGATTGCTGTTTTAAATGTTTTTGTGAATTTACTGTAGATAAAGTGAAGCCAATGGTATGTATGTGTTTTTATAATGGAAGGCATTTGAATTTTTTTAAAGGCCCTGGAGACTCCCAGTTAATACCTACCGCCTTATTCACACACTTGACCTGCTTGCCTCTTTTTAATCATGGGGGTTCTTCCTTCAAGCCAGTGGTTCCTGGTTCATCCATTGGCAGTCATGGCCTCCAAACACCAAGGAGTTAATGCCAGGCAGACTTGCAACAACAGCAAAATAATGAAAAAAATAAAATAAAAAATCCGGTTCCAGAAGTATTAGCTTCTTTACTGCAGCTTTTGGCATCAGCTGTCCCAGGCAGTCCTTGGGTATGGCAGCCAAGTGACCTGCCTTGCTGTCATTAAGTGGCTGAGTGCTTTTCCTTTGGACAAATCAGCTCTAACTAAATGGGGTGGATTAGGTCCATCACAAGCTCTAGCTGATTGGCACTAACCAACCCATTTGGCCTGAGGCACATGGAAGCAGTGAGCCTGCAGAGCTCTTGCCCTTCCCACCCTGCACTGAGACATTCAGGACCTTCCTTAAGTTCTCAAAGAAGGTTTAAATGTGCAGTTAGTCACCTGTAATCCCCCTCCAGGCCAGGGGGCTGCCAAAGCTTACCCCAACCCGGAGTTCACCGTGCAGTGTGAATTACAAAAGAATTGTGTAACTTACAGTCTACCAAATCACCTTCTGGACCTTCCAAACTTCATTCTACAAACTTAGTGACTTGCTGCTCCTCCTGTGGTCACAGAGGTCTGTGCCACGGTGGCTTCTTAGATGCTAATTGCTCTGCAGCTCTGACACTGTAAATAGCCATTTCCTATCCTATTCCCGATTTTATTCCAATTTTGATATCAATGGCTTATAAGTGATAGGTTCTGATGAAGTACAGTTGAGCACAGATACAGGGAACTCCAGTGGCTGATCCTGTTTGAAACTAACTGGGAAGACTGCTTAACTTTTCTGTGCCTGGCAGCATGCCTGTGCTTGCAGTGGATGTTCTCTTGGGAATCTGAACATTGTGGCATTTTTGGAAGGGGGAATGAAGTCTATTGGCTTCTCTTAAGTCACTTATTTTAAAGATAATGTGAATTTTAAATCAGGTTGGATGTTAATCTGCCCTCATCTGAAGTTACAGGGGGTCTGGGTATCTCTGGATCAGGTAGTAAATATAAGTGCCCGGTATCTTGTATTATACCAAAACAGATTTATGGCTGAGAGGACTATTTGTCAAGTGTCTTGACATTTGTAATCCTAAATTTCAGTACTTCCATACTGTGCCTGTAAACTTGCCATGTCTATAATGGTGAAGGTGCCAATAAATGTACCAGTCAATCACAGTAAATTCACTTTTAAATAAAGAAAAATGTGCATCTTGTGCTGGAGAAGTAAACATTTAATAACAGCAGACTGGTGTAGGACCAAAATCACACTATATTGTATGTCACAGGAATTCCTCAGCATTTTGCTTTATGGTCTCTCTGCATTAACAAACTATTATGGAATTCTTGTTACTCTCTTAAGTGAGCAGCTCTTGGGATCTTGCAGACTTGGTTTATTTTTTAGTGGTGCACTTGATTATTGTTTTTTAACTCACAGCTGCCTTGAGTGAATCATTCTGGAAATTTATTACTAAGGAATTTTAAGACAATATTCTTTTTCTAAACAATTTTTTTCCATAGAAGTGTGTTTTGAAGCAGTTTCCTAGCCAACACCGTTGCAAAGACAGGTGCCATTTTTATGTTCTGGTGTTAAAACTCGTTTCTACTTGTGTGACTCCAGAAACAATTTTACAAATGTATATAACTTTTCTTAACAGTTCAGGTAGATGGTGAATGGTAGCGGCTTCTCCTGCAGGTGTTACTGCAAATCATGTCACTGTCATCATTTGATGGGCGATTGTCTGTTGGATTCAGCTGCTTTTAAAATAAAATAATGAGTGCCAATTGCTTGCTAATGAGGTTTCCAGATTATCTGGTGGGTTTTGCCACTGGGTTATAGCCAGGGTTGGCAGTGCTGCAGGTCCTATTGTGGCAGGGCATGAGGAGACCTGGAAGAAGCCCGAGCACAACTGAGGAAACAGTATCTGATGCTTCTTAGGGACTTGCAGAAAGCTTGTGATAGATACTGCCAAGGTGATGTTTGCTGTTTAAACTGTTTTGAATATAGTTTTGCATTTTCTTCTTTTTTAGAGCCTACAGATTTCATGTAACGTTATCATGTGAGGCCAAACAATGCCCTTACACAGGCTGTGGCTTTTCCCTCTTAAATGGTGATTCGTGGTATTTCAAGATTGATTGCCTTACTAAAATGGGTGTGGTTTTAATGGCAAAAGCTCAGACTGCTAGTATGAGGGAGGGCCTACAATGACCCTTAAGAGGTTTCACTTAGCAGATTTTATTCCCAGCTTTGAATCTCAAAGAAAGCAGTATGTGCCTGTGAACTGTTCAGTGCAGGCTCAAGTTAGCAGCCTGTGTGATCTCTAACAGTGCAGTGTGGCAGCTGCATCACCCTCCCTCCCTCACTGGACAGCCGATTTGCAGCACTAGTGGCTACATCTTAACCTATCTTGAAAAGTTTGTTGCCAAACTTACCTGCTTTCTGTAACAAGATTTATTTTTGTCAGGTACAGGTTTTTGTCAGCATTCTCTGATTTTTTATTTAACTCTGCATAGAGGATACTAATGGGGTGAGTGCCCAACTTGGGCTTGTTCCCATGTGGACTCAGACATCTGCTTATTGGTAGAGAGATTGGTTGTGATTCTGGAAACCACAAAAAGCTTCTAGGTGGCACCTTGCTGATGTACACTTGCTTCCCCTGCTAACGTGGGCCTGTTTCCATCAGTCTCCAGACCTTTTTTTCCCAAACATCACTATCCTCTGCCTTGCCAAATTGCAGATCTGTTGCAGAATCTGGCAGAACAGATAGTTCAATGTATTGACAACACTGTCATACACCATTTGAAATGGAACATGGATTAAATAGGCTTTTCCCCCTGCCTAAGGCTGTAACAGCTGGTCCTAGTGTGCTTACTGTAATGCATGGGTTGGAAATAGTTAACTCTTTAATTCATTCAGTTAGTGTAACTGCTTGTCCCACGATGAAGTTCATATTTCTTTAAGGTGGAATGAAAACATTGTGAAAACATTCCAAGAGTGCTTAGTCTTTCCTCTTTGAGGACACTGTCACCTCCACTAGGTTTTAGTGCTGTGCTTTAAGATGTTGGTGAGAGTATTGGCTAATTCAACTAGTTGGTATAAATGGTTGTGTAGCAGAATGACTGATTTTTGAGATAGCATTTCCTGTAAAAGTAATTAAGCATGGGTTGATGGTGCACTTTGTATACAGTAACCTGGCGTGCATGCTGGTAAAACTACTTCCTACACTTCAGAGGCACCACAAGCCTTTTTATCCAATTGCTGGTTATGTAAAATACATGCAGAATGTTAATGCAGTGTTGTTATGGTAAATGTGTGAACAGTGTTACTAATTGATATAACTGATAACAGATTACATGTGCCTGACATTCTTATACCACACAGTATGTTTAGGTTTTAACTAATATGGACTTCGGTGGAATAGTCTTAGATATTTCAAGCCTTTGTTTTACTTACACAATGGTGCTCTATTTGTGTTGGGTTTTTTTTTCTCCTTTTTTAAAATAAAAGCATCTGAACACTCGTAGTACATATTACATCCAAAGGAGTCCAAAACAAAATGCTTCTAAACATGCTTGATTTTAATTTGCCTTTAGTTTCCAGCATTCTCATCAGCTAGGTTCCTTTTTTTAATTTTTTTTTTTAAACTTGTTGCTGACTACTTTGGAAAACTTCAGTAATGTTACCAATTATGAAGTGATTCTGCACTGCCTTTGGATTGTGTATGTATTCAGAAACAGTCTTAAAGCTTTTATTTAAGCTATTAAAAAAAAAAAACCAGGGACTTGTGCCATTTGTTCTTTAACAGTGCTGTTGTAAAAAGACTTCCCTGTGAAAAAAAAAATCACTTGCTATGAACTCTTGTTTATAGCTTTTTTTTTCCACGATGGATCTTTTTCTTTGTATTTGTACAGTGGCTCAGTGAAAGATGTTGCCATGAGTTGATATTGTAACCAATAAACAAGTGCTTTTAACCAGACTGTGTTACTGGTGGATGTTTTATGAGAGCTGTATTAAAGAGCAACCCCTGTCCTCAGGATGAAGAGTGGGGAGGGACCAGTCATACCTACCAGTAGTAATTCTTGCACCTGTAGTACAGCTGCCAAATAACTTACTAGAGCACAGGGGTAGTATGTTTTTTTTAATAAATAACTGTAGAACACATGCATGTAAAGTTTTATCTTCATACAATGTCCATAAAAATGCTCCAGAAAAAGAGCATTAATACACATCTGTTACCTCACACACAAGAAGGCTGGGCTGTTCCTCATGGTGGTATTTCACAGGTTCCCTTAAAACCCTGCAAACTGCTATTGAAAGGTCCAGGAGAGTGGGGCTTGTGCCAGCAGTCAGAACATACACCAAAAGACAGTGTGGTGACAACAGTGCTTTGGCTTCAAATAATTAACTGCCTCTAGCATTAGATTTTGCATTTATTTTCTTTAAAATAGCCCTTATTTGCTGGAAAATAGCAAATCCCCAAGTCTTAAAGTTCAGTATTTAATTTCATCATGTTAACACTTTCATAAAAAATATATAAATATTCTGAAAAGGCTTTC